TAATGATCCTTTGCTTACGTAAGTCTCAGAACCTGCCTACATTTTAATTCAACTTATCATCCTTTGTCAACCACCGCTACAGTTTCACCATAAGCGGCAGTGTATCACTATCATTGATGGTTAGTAGTGTGAGTAAAAATCACAAAAATAATTTCTCTGAACAGTTTTGCCTTACGAAGCTCTTCGTTTGTGTACAAGTGTTGTCGTTAATGCGACAAAGAGACGAAGAGTCATTGGCGGATGTTCAGCTCAACCATAAAATATGTATTGCAAAACAAGGACAAGATTTGTTAACAATCATTTATAAAAAATAACAAAAACATATATTCAACCAAACACACGGGATTACTTGGCCTTCTTTGCTTTGATCTTACGGAGGTAGAACTCCAATTCTTTACCCTCGAGAATGTAACCATCGGCACGACCGACTTGTCCGGGGCTTGAGGAAATTCGAGCTATAATATAGAAACGTAACGAAAGAATTATGGAAGATCTTGGCATTAAAAATACTAACCAAGGAGTCGTCCAGTGGCGAATTGCTCCAAGAGGAGAGGGTCGACAGCAGCACTCTTTTGGCGTTCCGTGTATTTAGCTTGGCAGCTTGCAGACCTGAACGACCACCGATAATTCAATGCTTTGTGAGGTTCAAACCTTATAGGTAGGAAATTACCTCTTCTTATTTATGATGGCGTTATCCTCCTCGGAAAGCTTCTGATTCTTCTTCCTGGCAAGGGGCAAAGCGTAATGAGCTTCATACCATTGACGGAAGGGGGCCGCATCAATTGTGATAACAGTTCCTTTCACGAGCGTTTTTGTACGAACCAACTCGTTGTTTGTGGAATTGTAAACGGTATCGATGATACGAGTTTTGCGAGTTGTCTCTGGAAATAAATTTTTAACTCGGCATCGAAAACAAGTTGAAATGTTGCATTGTACAAGAGCAATTTATGAATCGCTAAAAACACGATTGGTTCGTAACAGAAATGAGATTAGCCAACGTTACTGACTCAAGCAATCAAAAAAAGATATTCCGACTTACTTTCAGAAGCCCACGAGTAATTACCGGAATCTAGACGAAGCGCACGAATCTTTGTGTTTCCACCTCGCACACGAATAACACGGATCCTTTTTGCTCCGATCTGAATAAAAAGGTAATAGAGAACCACCATTATTTCTAATACAGAAAGAAACAACGCAAAAATGCAACCTTGGTTGCAGCAGGTTGGCGACCGAGTTCGTACTTTCTCTTCTTGTGTGGAACTGGGCGTGTGGCACCAGTCTTGTAATGTTTATGCCATGAATCACGTGAGATACCCATTCTGGAAAGAAACAATTAGGATTGAATGACACAAGAGCCCGGAAGACCACACAAACGACAACCAAAAACGAAAAAGAACGCGAGAATTTTAGGCTAGACACGCTTGGGGGAGTACGGTGAAGTACGCAGCAGTTCTACGGCTGCTGCATCCTAAATGACGCGACTTTGCAATTTTGCATGCTTTTAGGTTCACAAAGTGATTGACGTGTCTTTCCATCATTTTTGTCCTCTTTGTGTACTGCAAATAATATTGATGCGGATCATTCGCAGTAAATACATGTTCAAGTTATGCTGCAACCTGTTACTCATAGTTTTACGTTTTTCGAAAAGTAGCGACGGGGTATAGACACTTAGCTTGATATACTCTCTCATTCATCCTTCGCTACTCATACTCATCCCACTTGGTATTCTGAACAGCAACTCTTGTGCCCTGCAGTGTTCATTCATTTCTATTAAGGGGAGAGGGGTTGTAATTTGAGGTAAGCAAATCAGCCCGTTTGGTCCTTCTGCTGGATGCATTTCCTTATTCGTCGATTCTGTTTAAGGGTCTCACAATCCCACTCAGGGAAAGTACGTGGGAGTCGCTTCTAAATCCCAGGTGGAAGTTAGGTATATAATGAAAAAATCAGCAATCGTAGCGCTGCACGGCTCGGTCAGGAAGTGTCGTCCTCCCATGAATGGTAATTTATGAATGCCCTGCAGCACCATATGAATTCCCCATAGTTTCGAAAACTTCTAGGGAAAGATCGAACGTTGAAAGATGCAGACCCTATGACCCTGCTAGGCCGAACCAATCTCTGTTTGATTTTGCGTCCTTTGTCGAACGGCCCTCAGTCTCCTCTTTGTTTCCAGTTTGACAGTTATGGTTACTATTAAATGTGCTCGTCTTTGCTGAATCTACCGGAACTCGCAGAATATTCGATTTCCACTCATAGTCGCAGTGCTTTCGAAGGTGCAGTTGTTTTATGAGACGATAAAATTCTCTCGGGAAAGATAAGTGGGGTTTTAACAAGCATAGGAATCCCAAGTGGATATCTTACCGAAGCTTAACGGGGTGTGGAGATGAACTGCATAATTTGACGCCTAGCGTCAAGCCCTGTGCTCACAACTCCACAAATTTGCTTGAACATGACCATCCTTTCCAACCTAACTTCTGGAAGATCTCTATTACGGCACTGTGGGCTTGGGGGACCAGGAAACAGGTGCAACGTGAAATTTCATGAAAGCATTGCCATACTTTGTTCTGTGTGTTCTACCGCCTAATCTTGTTTATATGTAAGTTCTTTATAGTACCCTAAGCATGATTTTCAGTCATGGAGGAGTTTCGGGCGGAAACCACAGTTGGGCTCATTGCATGTTGTCAATGCGGCTTACCCATCCAGCCGAATGCAGCCAACATGTGCAGTGGGTGTATTCGTTCCAAAGTTGACATTACTGAAGGAATAGGTAGATCGGGTCAGTTGAATAAAGCTTTGCTTCATATACAGTTGCCAGAAGTATGTCAATTTTTTTTATTTCAGCAACTATTTATATATGTAAGTTTTGTGACCGTTATTTCGTACCTCCAAGTGGTTGGATGCGAGCAGAATTGGAATCAAAAGAACTGTTGTCGATCTGTCTGAAGAAATTGAAGCCACAGCTATTGAAGGTGCGTGAATTGACCGATCGGAGTGAGCTGTCTTGAAGATTTGTTTTCTCTCAGGTGCGATTGACCGATGCCTGTTTCGTATGGACAGAGCCTCATTCAAAGCGAATAAAAGTGAAACTAACTATTCAAAAGGAGGTCTTTTCAAGCACAATATTGCAACAGACTTTTATAGTCGAATTTACCATTCACAACCAGGTGGGTACCCTTATTTCTTCAAAAAGAGAGCATTTGTACGTAGTCCTTTCTTTCAGCTCAATATCTAATAAGCCCATGCGTCATCTTTCTCTTCTTACCTACTAACAAATCCTGCGTTCTTTCGGAGCATTATTTGCTGCTTACGGGCCTGATTCGATTTTTTTTAGATGTGTGATGACTGCCGAAGAGCGGAAGCAAAAGATTTTTGGCGAGCCTGCGTCCAAGTTAGACAAAAGGCTGAGTTTAAGAAAACTCTTTTCTACCTCGAACAACTCCTGCTCAAACATGGTGTAAGGTTTTTTACATGGGGCCTGAATTCAACAATTTGGGTGTTATACCATAGTCGACTGTTTCATTCTGGGCCTTATCTTTTTCGAATTTAGATGTTTAGGCTCATAGTCAGTGCACTGGAGTGAAGCCTGTCCCAACCGGAATCGATTTCTTCTTTGCTAAACTTCAAGATGCTAGAAAATTCGTTGATTTTCTGATGACGGTGTTGCCCTGTAGATATCAATATGCTCAGGTAAACTTTGCTCAGCAGTTTGAAGTACAAGCTGAAGCAATTTCACAGTCCCTGTAATTCAAAGCTATTCAGGAACTGGTGTCACATGACACGAAAAATAACACCTACGATTACAAACATACATTCTGTGTGGAAATCGTTCACATATGCAGGTTCGCTTTTTTCTTTGGCTAAAGAGCCCATGAATACATGGATCTCATTCATGGTTTTGAATAAATAGTGTTTCAGGGACAATATAGTGTGTATGCCAAAAAAGGTAGCCCAACATCTTGGTAATATGAGCCATTTCTTTGGCTAAGAAGCCCATAAATCTCATTCATGGTTTTGAATAGATAGTGTTCCAGGGACAATATAGTGTGTATGCCAAAAAAGGTAGCCCAACATCTTGGTAATATGAGCCAAATTGCGATTTGTCTTCGGGTTTCAAATGTTATTACCCTTATTGATCCAAGTAATCTACAGATGGCAGATATACAAGCGTAAGTATTCGTTGGTTTTTGTTTCATTTGTGATTGCAAATAACGTCTTGTACAGAACGTCATTTTGGCGAGATCGCAGATATACAAGCGTAAGTATTCGTTGGTTCTTGTTTCATTTGTGTGTGCAAATAACGTCTTGTACAGAACGTCATTTTGGCGAGATCCTTTCGATTCACTTTGCACACCCAAGCAGCTGTCCGAGTTTTACGTGCTCGACGTGGATATAGTGGATAATCTGGATAGAAAAGTGAGTGACTGCTTATTTATTCGTAGATTTTTGTACTTCTAAGCCTGTTAATGATTTCCAGGCTGGTCATGGCTTTGTCAGCAAAAAACATGTTTTGGCGGACGTTTGGCTTGTGAGGAGCCACCAGGTGACTTTGTTCGGATGTTTTGTTCTTGCCTTGTGTCTGTCTAAAGGTCCTTGATTGATAATATGAAAGTTCAGGTTGGAATGTCAGATGCTCAAACACTTTCGACTCGTACTCATTTGGGACATCTACTGAATCCTGGCGACCTAGTCATGGGCAAGTTTAACTAGTGATTCATAGCAATAAAATACTTTGAGCCGAATCCCCATTTTAGCATTCGATATCCGCAATTGTAATGTGAACAATACTGTCTTTGATGAAATGAAGCCCGAAGATATTCCAGACGTTGTCATAGTGAAGAAGGTACGTTTTTGTGGGTGTTTAGAACATAGGAGATAATTTGGTTGCTTCTCTTTGACATCGTGAACAAACCTAATATCAGGTGTATGATCGCGCTCGACGAGTCGCGCATCGAAAATGGAAGTTGAAACGATTGGTTGTCGATGGAAACATCATTGGTAATGAAACTGAAAGTGTCGCTGACGAGTTTCAGAGGTGTGGTTCTCGAAAACTCTCTTTTTTAGTGTAAACTCAATCAAAACTGCGTCTGTTCAGGTTTATGGAAGACGTGGAAGAGGATCCATACATGCGTGAGAAGATCAACATCTACAAGGTGAGAACCATAATTTGTGTCATGTGCTTTCCTCAGTTTACCCTACCCTTTCGTAGGATGAGGAACGAATTAACCAAGTGGATGAAAGCGATGATGAGGCTATTCCTGATGCGCCAACTTTGGCCGAAATGTTGGATGACCTTAACATTGAGGACAGCGAAATGCAAGAAGCTCCTGAATCTTTGCATGAAGAGCCTATGGATAAGGCATGAGGCCGCATCATTTGGGCAGTTCTATTTGAAATTGTCTTGGGGAGTTCTTTAAAGATCTAATTGTGAGGTAGACTGAACTGGTATCGACCATGAAAGAGTCTTATCGACTGTGCTGTGTCCTTCACATAGTAGTCAATAGTCAACTCCAAAAAAGGAATATATTGAGGTTCCGGTGATTTAAATAACCAAAGTTTATGAGTACATTGAAAATATTGGTTTAAGTTGGCTCCGGGATAGAAAAATTAGAATTCGCTTATCTTGTAGAGGTCAGCGCTGTAAGTGTGGACTATTGCCACTTTACTTACTGACAGAGCTCCGCATGAGCGCGAAACCGAAGTTTTGAGTAACCAGTTTTTGCAGATAACACTTCCTTCCTAAATTACGTAACGCTGGGCTGTGTTACGACTATGTTCGCTGTATCGACATAGTTCCAATGAGTTGAGGGCTTGTTCATAGGTTTACTTGTTACTTTGGTGTTACGTAGAGTTCTGTTACTTTTTATCTATTCTTATGTTGTCAATGTTGTTGTTGTTTTCTTGCGCAGTTGTTTTATCTTTTGAAATAGTTTTATAGTGGCTAAGCCATAAGTAAATATTCTTAAGCGTGGTTGTTTATAGTTTCGCGTTTAAGGACGTAACACCTGTTTTGCTTGATTACTAATCTGAAAATGTTGTTAACTTAAGTTTTTTGTGTTTGATTTTATTCTTAACCAACTCGATGAGTTACCATTGAATTACTGTAAATATGGAGTCCGAACTGATTTGAAACCGTCACTTCACATTAATCCATCTCCAAATTGGAAGGCTTCTAGTAAAGGCGAAACTGCAAATGTTTTTGTAGGCTTATACGTTGGCAATCCTCTTGGATTAGGAAGTAAATCGTCTGCAAATTGTGAAGAAAGGCTACGCCTCAGCAGTTATTGCATGGTCAGTTCCCATCTGTAACATCGTTACACTTCTGAGTTACGGTATGTTTCTTGTTGGTACCGCCTTCCACCCTCAGATGTGTATGAAATGTCAGATCGATACGATTGCCACATTGATGATGCAAGCCGATCGCCGTTGGTCTTTGTTAGTCCCAGACGCGTCCCATTTCGCCCTCTCAGGAAACTTTTTTCCTTGCAAAAACCCCAGAATCTGTGATGTTGGCAGCTGACTGTTTGAAGTAGCCAGTCAACTGAAGCCGTCGGCAAATTTCCCATGTTACGGCTACGTTTTACTGAAATATATTTGCATAGAACTTCTCTAAAGTTGGATCTCCTCGGTGATGGTGACTCATTCGTTTAGAGCTTTGCTGTGTAGATATCCATTTTGAATGGTATATTGAATTGACCTTCCTGACTCCCAATCGTTTTCACAATTATACAGTTCTGCTTTTCTAAGACTCCATGATTTTCTGCGGTGCTTATTAGTGGTGGAGTGTGCCTACTGTGCTCTAAATTGAACAAGTTCTGGAACTCCATGATTTTCTGCGGTGCTTATTAGTGGTGGAGTGTGCCTATTGTGCTCTAAATTGAACAAGTTCTGGAGTATCTAGCCGGTTTGGCGGTAACTGAATGTGCTTCAACTTCCGACTGAAAAATTGGATATAAGTGTTCAAGTGTATTTGGTGCCAGCTTCTATGAACTGTAGTAGCTTGCAGCACTTCGTGGGAGTTGGCACCAAGTACATTTGAACACTCAAGTAAGCGGAACGTCGAAAAAGATGAATGGTCATCCGTAGCCTGATGTACTCGAGATAGTTACCAGTGTAGTTCTGAAACACTTCAAATTCTCGCTTCTAGCAGCATCTTGTCACTGCTTTCATGATGGGTTCGCATCCGAAGTACTTCCTTTTAAACAAAGTCCACCACGAAAGCGTATAGTTCAATGGAGTTGCGCATAGATGTAGAATGGGAACTGAATAAAGTGTACGAGCTCATCAAGTTCAAAAAACATTTCCTGGCTGCAAAGCAAAGCGTACGGTCCTATTGCGCAATATGCGGTAATAGGCCTCTTCTGTCATCAGTTTCGAAATGCATTTTCCCTTTTTTTGTTCTGCAGCTGTCACGAAACGACTTAGAGAAGTATCTCTACTCTCTACAACCGCTCAATTTTTCACCTTTAAAGTGAGAATCAGCTTAGAACACCCACATTCTCCTTGTTACCTTGCAGCTTAACCCTTGGGATGACAGCTGGAACGGATGGTTCCGGGAAGCTCTGTTCGACTGTTTATCTTCTGTCGCTCTTTCTCAGTTTTAACGTACATGGCAAAAGTGATAATGTGAATGAGTTAGTATGAGGTGGCAATTCCATCCGTGTTGAAGAAGTTCGTGGCTGGCACGGGTGTTTACTTTGACGAACTAAAAGCTAGCTGCCCAGTAGGTTGCCACAAATCTGATGAAGAAAGAACGGCTCCTTATCACGTCTTTCTATCAGTAATATTCATTCATATTGGATTTTTCATATATTATCTTCAAATCTTATTTTCAAATTTTCGAGCGCTGCTAAAGTGTCATGAGACCCTCAAATGAGGCATACGCTTCCTGAATCACTAGGAATGTTTCGCTGACAGATCTGCGATAGCAAGGATTCAGAATACAAAAGTTACTTAATGCTCCAGTTCTTCTCCAGTGTTCAATCCTTATCATTCGAGCTGTAATGGTGTTTGAATGTGTTGCATGAGCGAATCAGCGACTCTTCTCAATCTACAGCCATGAAACTTGGCGGGCCTGTGAGGTTTTTGTGTGGTTGTACGGTTTGGTGTTCCTCACTGATCTCACCCTAAACCATAATTACACCTCCTTGTCCTAGCTACCTCGATTCCGCTTCTCATGTTCAACTGAATGGAAGCTATGGAGGGTGATGCCATCGTTCCCTTGTGTGTTACATCAATTTCGTTGTTGTGTTTTATATTACGTTCTCATTTAAGTGAAAGTTTTGTTCAGATATTGATTTCTGCTATTTTCGAATCTACACATGCCACCTAATATGAGTGTTCCCGAATTGCTACATGCATCTACTAAATTTGAGCGCACCAAGTCTGAATTAACAATTTTCGCTCGCACGCCCCGCCTTCAGAGGGTGGAGTGTGCACATGCCACTTATTGTTCCCGAATTTTCACCCAGATCTCTATTGAACTTGAACTCCTCCGGTATGAATTGCCAATTTTCTTACCCTCTCTGTCTCCAATGGGTGAAGTGTGCACTTACCACCTGTCCTTTTGGTTACAAATTACGTATTGTTATTAAATGGTTCTAGTTTGTTTTATCTCCTTGATTACTGCTTATGGCTTAATTCATCGTCATCTGTTGCTTTACGAGAGTACAACGTTGATCGGCAGTTATGATCATACCACTGAGACTTGGTGGAGGACGGCTGCGGTCCGTCGCTGCAGAGGTCGGGGTGTATTTTGACCATGTTTCATAAATGCAGACCCCAAGTTCCATTTGGTTCTGTGTATTTGTTCTTTATCTTCATAACTCCAGCGATATTCACTACTAATGTTTGATTCTAATGGCTGTCAAATGACAAATTATTAATTTCAGTTAACTCGATTGATCGAATTCCAAAATTTGGCGTTCACACAAGCATGGATAGTGATGATGATGTTCAAGTGATTTATGATAGCTGCAGTAGTGGAGCATGGGAAACAGCGCGAGAGAATTTGAAGAAAATTTGCAAAACGGAAGAAGTAATCTTTTGAATAATTGTGGAATATCGCAACGAATGCAGTTTTTTACAGTTCGTAAACAGGCAATTTTTGCAACACGTTGTGGTAAAAAATGTTTACAGAGTGATCCAACGTCAGTGCCTTCCACCACATCTGCTTCAGAAAACACCAGAAATCAGTCGAGGCGAGTTTGTTTGGATTTTGGGGATACTGGTTATACAATATGGATTCTAAAACTGCTTCATCTTGCTCATGAGCACGTTTTTCCAAAGTCCGCTGGGCTAGTGCAGATGAATTTGCCCTCATAAATGCGAATGTTCTACTCTCTTCTATTCATCTTCAGTCCAAGCTCTGACCCTAACGGTTTGCTGATCTGTAATTCTACACACAGCACTCATTGATTTTATAGAGACTGAAGGCCGATGCTCCTTCTCCTGGAGCCGTTGACCACTAATAGCTTGGATGTGAACCTGAGAACTTCAAGTTAAGAGTTTCTTCTCCAATTTTGTAGCCAACATTACGACCATTGTTTCAGATAGGTCCCTTTTCGAGGTCATATAGAAATTGGAATCTCTTTTATCCGGTTTATTTTTGATTCTTTATGCAATATGGGCATGATATGACCACTCTCACGTCAGCCACTCTTGTCCTCATCATTGACAAGGATTGGTTGAGCGGCAGTGTTGGTAACTGCCCGTTATAGCTGTTATCCTGATCAAATTTCATATTATCTAAAGTAGTCGTTTGCAGTAGTGAGAACTACCAAATATGGCGTCAAGACGGTGAACGCGTAATGGATTCATGCATTGGTTCATCTTCGAAAACTATCGAAACTGAGGTCCTTGTTTTTCTACTTGTTAAGCAATTCTATACCCATTTTTCCATTTATCTGTCTATGCGTTTAATTCCAAACACTAACATCACTTGAAATTTACATCGTTTACGTGCTTGTGGTGAAGTTATGCGCAAGTTTGAACGGAGCGATAGCCACTCAGATCCTTGCGATATTCAATTCGATCTAATAACCTCGACCCTGAGAAGGTATAAACGCAGTCTAGGAAGAACGGCTTTACCCAAGCTAGTTCTGAAATTCAAAGTTTTCATGCTGTAATGTTAGGTAAGCATTTGTTATTTCGGCCCTAGGAAGGGGATCGTGAGGGATCTCTAGTGTGTGACCAATTCGAACCATTGCCTAATAGAAAGGGAAGTCATTCTATGAAGATATGTTTTCCATAACGGGAAACTAAGCGTGAACTTTTGATGTGCTTATGTGTTGCGAATGATCAGACAGCGTGTTTGCGGTAACATTGAGTCTGAAACATTGTTTTGATCTTTTTTCTTTTTGAATTGAGGAGATTCATAGTTCAATCCGTTGCAAAGGCATCCGAAAACAGTACAAGCCTCTAACCCCGAAGATTATTTCAGGATGATGCTGTCACCTCCAATTCTGACACGAGTGCCGTCCCTCCTTCCGTGAAGCTGGAATTGATTGATATCCTTGATGGGGAGGATGACACCTCATCGGTTGAGTTGCTTGAGGATGACAGTGAATATACCATTGGTGCCGAAACGGCTCTCCATAAAGATCCAGTAAGATATTTAATGGAAAGGAGATAAAAATGAAAATGCCTTTCACAATTACAATCAGTTTTTCAACTATTTCAGACTGACCATGTAGAATCTGATGAAATGAAGGCTATTTTACCCAACGAGAATAATTTATTAGATCCCGCCAAGGATGGATACACAAGTGCGCGAAGCCGAACATTGACTCTTTCCGAAACTTCTTCTGTTGAAAACAGGGACCAGGTGTGGAATTTTGCTTTTAAATTAGGATTCGTTAGGGTTCTGTAATCTCTAGGGAATTCTGCTGATTTTTAGTCAGCCCACATGAACAGTCTTTTTTAGTTCTTCATGGAACTTCAGGGCACTAATCGGACATCGACTCCCTCCACATCATCTCAAAGAGCTGGTCCTTCTGGGCAGTCTCCGTGAGTTGAATTACTTATACTCTGTGGGTTCAGATTAACAGAATTGTGACCTTTGAATCTTTCTTCCATTTCTTAAAACTAAGTGAATTCTATAGAGCATCTTAAGAAAAGTTCATCGTTGCCCCTGTGAACTTGGTTTTGTTTTCAATTTTCATTTTTACATTTGATTCACTTTCAGAGTAAAGCCATCTGCCACAAGAGTTTGGCGGGAACGATGTCAATCACCGATGAGTACATATTCCACAGATAGCGAATACTCCGCGCAGCTTCCGTTTTTTATGGGGGTATGTTTGCGGATTTCTTGTTGTTGCCATGCTTATTATGTTACGGCTTCTCAGTAAGCCGTAAGGTTGAGCAGTAATTTTTGCATCCATAGATTTGCCTTTTCTTTTTCTCCCGCATCCTACAGTGTCCTTACTGCTCCAAAAAATTTCCCTACGTTTTTAGACATATAGTACAAGGAGTGTTGCAAGCAGTTTTGTCAGAAATGTTGACCGAATGCGCATTGATGAGGAGAGCGAGTCCCGGGCCAGAACTCCGCAGCCAATTTCCCTCGATGAAGTTTCCTCCACTTCTGATTTATCCAAGAAGAAGGTTAGCCAATACCAATTTCTGCCTTCTGTTGGTGGAGTTTTAACTGTTACTGCTCTGAACGATGTTCGATTCGATTTCTTCTGATTGCACTTTGACGTTCTTCTGAAACTTGCATGTGTTTGGCGAGGATAGACTCTTGTCTCGCAAGGGAAAGGGAGGGTAACCTACTGCGCAGTGCTGTATATATGCTGGTGTGACCTTTACGCTTGTTGTCGACGTTATGAGCTTAATGATTGACAGACATCGACAAACGGCTTTTACCATCGGAGTCTCTAAAGTGGCTCTATCTTCGGTGTCTTCTTTTTACGAAGCCATTATACTTTGTATGTAAGCGATTTTTCAACTTTTAAAGATGTCCGGTGTGCAAGGCGAGTTAGCTATGGCAGCACGATGGGCAGAGGATCACGATCTAGGGCTCGATGATGAAGACGAATTTTTGGAATGTGAAGATGAGGACCGTCCTCCAAGTACACGTGAGTTTTCAGTGGCTTCAGCCTGCTATCAAGCATTGCCCCCTTAGCGTTTTCGATGGTTTGACTTTTCTGCAAGATGAAGTGGTAGAATATGAAGTAATGGGATCTATGTGTTGGTGCGGTCACATGATTTTGGTTTAACATCATTCCAGGCGATGAGCAAATCACCTCCACTGAAAGGAACAGACCAGAAGAGACAAGAAAAGGAAAGGTATCAGGCTGTGTTTCGTTTGCCTATTTTTTCTGGTTTCAATGTAATCCAAACTTTTCGATTCTTCACAAAACTTTCGAACAATTTCTGAGTTCTCCCCACCTTTTTTGCTCAGTGTAATTCTTGTTTTTTAGCATATTGATTATTTGGAAGTAAAATAACAGGTTATCTATTGCTTCTTAGATAATGCCAACTGCTCTTGATATTTAGAGCACTTGACCAGTTTGCATTAGTGAAAATAATTTCTCTGCCCGTCGCTGATGAAGCTATTGCTGAAAAGCGTGTGAATGTAGAGCTGGCGATTTTTGAAGTATTGTATACGTATGGGAGAGTACAAAAAATCCTGAAGAACAATCAATGCACTCCTTCTTTGGGATAAATATTAAGTTGTGTTCAGTGAAACACGACGTTATGAAGTTTCTAAGCTATTAAGCTATGCTAAGCTTTCTAAGCTATGCTTACGTTCTTTATCCACTAATCCGTGCAGATTACTGTAGTTGTCGCAACCTGGGCCTGAATTTTCCCTAAAATTATGATAGATAGTCACAGCTTTTACGAGCGCATTTCAAAAAACGATCGGTACCCACGTAAAACGGCTTCTCTTCAGACTGCCAGCTCAAACAGATATCGATGTAGGAGCCATAAAAGAACAAAATCTACACGTCAGCCATCGGATAGGGATAAGGTTAGCTAGAACGTATAGAGCTTTGTTGTCCATTTTTTAAACTAAGAGTTGCATACTATAGCAGTTTTCCCAGCTATTTTCCAGCAGCTTTTTTTCATAAAAGTCTCTGATTGTTGGCATTCTGCTGGTTTTGAAGTTTTATGAATTTCGAAGTTCTAATTGTAACTGACAATTTTAAGGTGGATCACAGATCGGCTCCCAGGTCAGAACAAACTGCTGGAACATCGACGGGAAATGTGCGGAAAAGGGTTTGTGATATAGTGTTTCTTCACACAGATTCATTACATCTACGTCTTCTTTGCAGACTTTTTCTTGCTGGTCATACAATACTGATAGAAAGGGCTCACAATTATTGAGTTTCCAATCTGTTCAGGCGTATTGCGTGGTCTCTATGAATTTGTGATTACTAGGTTCAGATTAAGTAATAGTTGGAAATGCTTGTTAATTTGGTTCCAATTTTTACCTATTCACTTATTTATTTATTTGCTCATTTATTTGAACTACACTGCAGCAGTGTGTCCTTCGAAACGTTGTGGAGAGCTTCACGCGCAAATTTGAGTTTAAGGCACTGTGAATCCGGCGATGGTAGTGACACATAATATTAGTTTCTTGTTCAGAATAGCTCGCCGATTCAACGCCAACTTTCGTCGCCTCGTGAACGAGGTGAACAGAGAAAACGATTCGCCTCCGATCGCACGAGTGAGCGAAGTGAGCTTCCTTAAAAATGAAGTAAATCATGTTCCAATCCTGCTGCAACAAGGCTTATTTCCAGGAAGAGATCAAACGCAATCGCGCTCTCGTGAATCGCCACCGCGTTCGAACCAAGCGCGGAGCCCTCCCACTGACCCGAAACGTTCCACTGCTTCTGCGAAGAAAGCCCAAAGTTTACCTCGTTATGTACCCGCCGATCGTAGATATGATTTCACTCGTTGGATTGACTCGAAAGGAGGTTTGGCTTGTAGAGTTCCTATTTCATTTGCTAGTGAAACGTGGTATTCCTTCGACTCCTTCGAAATAGATGGCTTCATTGCAGATTTTGTTCTTCACAAAATCAAAGATGTAGCCACGGGACTGGTATCAGCTCCATTAGGCTGCACATACGACTCATCTTTGGATACGTTTGTGTTTACTCGTCATGACAGCGTACGTTCTTTCTAAAAGATACTTATTTATCTGACGTTCGTGGAGTCATTGCGTTGTTGGAGTTTCCAGTTCTAATATAAGAATTAGACGTTATTTCAAGAAGGTTTATTCTTCTTTCTTTAGATCCTCTTTTCTACTAGTGAAGGCCGAATTTTGGATAGTCTAACTCTGAAAGGCTTCGACCAGCCTTGCGCCATATGCATCCTTCGACCGGGAGGTCAGTTTTTGGATATGTCTTGTTTGTCGTTCAAATTCCAAAGGTTCAAGAGCTATTCACAATAAAACCGTCTGCATTCGGCTCTTGTTTTTTTACAACTTTCATTTGATTTTTAATAATTAAGCGATTCCAATCTCCGTAATTCATGGAGTTATTTTGCAGCTGCTATGGGGATCCTAGATCGCTCAAATTTGTATCTGTATGAACCGAAGTTGAAACGTCTAAGTATTGTGGCTGACGGACTTGGTGCTCGTCACCGCGGTAGTTTATTTTTGACATTATGAAGTTTTCAATTTTATAGGATTTTTCGTCTATGTTTGACTTATATTTCAGCACTGTCATACACTTGTAACGGTGACTTCATAACAGTTAAAAAGCATGGCTCACAACTGTCTGCCACAATCTTTGATGCAACTGATTACAACAAGGTTCCAATTTATGAATGCGATTTTCGTCATAGCAAATCTTAATTCTCTAGATTTTGACTGAATTTGTTTTTATTCTAGATAATTGGAAGTTTTGTTTTCCCACAATCTGATGGAGTGTCGGTTCTTCATGAACAACGTCAGCCGTGCTTCGCTGATACTACGGGAAATCAGATATTTTTCACAGATTTACGTGCGTTTTCGATGAATTTTTTGGTACTCATCACCTTTATCATTGATTAATGGGCGCTCATATTTGAAGGGACTAATACTCTCACGTGTATGGAAATGGAAGGCAATCGACTTGTAAAGGTCTACAGCCGGTGTATGCAGCAATCACCTACGCATCGTGGAGAGGAAGCTCGAAAACGGTACGTTCCGTCAATCTTGCCCTACGTAACTCTTTAAACGCTTCTGTTGTAAACATGTGCATGTCAATGACTTGAGTGATCTGAAACAGAAGCGTTGAAGGAATTTGATTTAATTAGCAAAAGATACTGTTGGCAAGGTGCGACATTGACGGTAAGTAACTCTGACAACAGATATGGGCCAACATTGGGCCTCAGAAAACGAGAACCGCTGGATCCACTGAGCGTTCTAGCACTTGGAAAGGCTGCGTGGGGATGGGCAGGACTCCAAAATAAATTGAGGGCATACCTGAAAACGAATCGCTTGCTCGAAGTGATACGCTTCTCTCTTCTGAGAATGAAGAGATTGCTCAGAAAAACGTTTTGATAGGCGGGACATAAGAATGCTCGTATGTGGTTTGGAATATAATGGCAAGTGGCAATGCTGATAAGAAGTTGCGGTCCACTATTGGGCAACTTTCTGTATTTTCTCAAGTTTTCGTTTTCGGCTACTTCTTTTATACGCATTACATTTGTTTAGTGGTGTCTTCTTTAGATTTGTCTTCATGAGTGGGATTCGGTGTGACGACTCCGGACACTTACTCGTCGCTGATGCGAAAAATCGAACGCTGAAGGTGTAGTTTTGTGAATTCGGGCAGCGGACTCATTTCTAATCCTCATCAAAAGGGAACTTCAATTTTCAGCTACTCACAACATCGGGCCAAATATTAAAATGCGCCAAGTTTGCCAATGGGGCCAGTTTCCCTTATTGTTCGGCTTTCGGTGTCTCGCCATCTGGCATGCTCATGGCGTGCGATCGAGCCAATAGCCGAATGGTTTTGTTTCGTATCGGAGAAGAGTGTATGTTACTTTCGAGATGATTATTTCACGGCAGATCCTAGAACTTTTACAAGTTTTTTGGTTGTTATTTTAGCAGTATCTGAAGACGCCGTGATTACCGACGATGTGTTTGATCGGATGATGGGCGAAACCGGTGTGGAGAATGAAGTACGCCGATTGAAGGAGAGAGCTCGAAGGGCAGCATGAGAGTCTGACTTGTTTTTGGATAATAATTGGATGACTTTGGGCGCTTGGATAATTCCATTCCTGCTTTTTATCGTACAGCTTTATAAAGACGGGTATTTATACTCTAAACCTCTTTTTGAGAACGCAGCCATTTTCTGTAGTTAGTCCATTGTCTCTCTGTCTTGTCTTTTACTATTGAAAGTGAATGAACTAAGTCTAGGGGATCGGATATTGAGGTAGTTCGAATTAATTGGAAAGTGAGGGGTCCGTTTAGGTGAGCAACATGCTAAACGGTAAATTCAAAGACATTCAATGAAATTAGAATGTTACTGCAGGCATACATGCATTGCCTAGCTGCGAGAATAGTAGCATTGGAATTCTTCAGAGTGCAGCGTTAAGCGTCACTGACGCAAGAGCGTTATGCGTCAAACGCCGATGCTTGGCGCTTTTGCGCTAAAGGTGCTTGGGTTGTACTCTGAAAGCACCCATGGTGGTAGTCCTGTTTAACATCATCAATTTTCCGAGGCTTCTTGATTTAATGGAATCGATAAATAGAGAAGTCTATGATATTTTTTGCTTTGTACGTTGAAATTCATAATAGAGAATAGTTAAGGGGTTGGGGGCAGGGTTAGATCCATTCACTAGTGTCACAACAATTTGCTACGCATCGACTGGCTGCTTTCAGACTTCGACGTCCGTCCGTGCGTTCAAGGCGTGCAGCGACAGCGGCTGCGCGCGTGCCGCGACCGCGGCTCTGGAAAGGTGTTGACAGCGCTGGTAAGTGATCTAGTGTTGTTAACACCTTTCTAGAACCGCTGTCGCTGCAGGTGTTCAGCGGACGGAAGGACGCCGAAGTCTGAAAGTAGCCACTCGCAGTATGCTTTGCCGCGTTGCTGCCGCCCGCGAGGGGATTTGCAGATCAATAAGAGGGACAGTTAAATGCCGCTCCTTATTTGAAGATCAAGTTGCATTCACCTACCTACAACTGCCTGTGTATCTCATATCACTAAGTGAAGGTGCCACAAGTGCTTTAAAAGCCAACCGGTGATCCATTAAATCTTTCTAAATTTTCTTTCTCTTTTGATCATCAATTGCTTTGAAGGTATTGCATAATAGACAACTTTATGTGATCGCTTAGGTCCCGTTTGAATCTCGCTTAAATGCCATCACTTATTTATTATTTTGAGGAAATCCATCACCATAAGTTACTGCATTTTGATTATCGCATAACTCTTTCCATATACCTGTAAATCGAGCCTGTTTATAGGAGTTTATATGTTCATAGTTTTAAACCTGCTGTGTCTTATTACTAATATGTGAATACTAATAAATCACGTACTGTAAGTTTTTTGATAAGGATTACGGGAATGGAAATGCCGTAATCAATACTTGCTTGTCATGCCTTTCTACTATTTCAGCGTGTTTGCTCTCAAAAAGTCGAAAGAGTAATTTATCTACAGGAGTGACGCAAGATCAGGATGGTCCTGACACGATAGGGATCATTGTGGGCTACATTAGGAGATGAACGCGGTGGCATAGACAGCTGGTCCAGTCATTCTCCAAGCGTGTATTCCGTCTTGTATTCTAGAAGGATTCTGTTTAAATCGCCCTTTTCCCTCAGATTTATGTGTTTGGTTTAGGCCGACATTTATATCGAAATGGTGAGTCAGATTCCACTAGAGATCACCAATAACGACAACATGTGATGAGGTTCGTCATGAAGCATCCAGCCGTTTTTCAAAAGTGCCATGCCTATTGTAGAGATGTGTGGAGCTGCTTCGGTCCCCTATAATTAGGTTAACTGAATGGCAAGGGCTGCTAGATGTGACTGCTGGCTACCATCAGTTTGTTACTATAATGAAGTGCTTTTTCAAGAAAAAAGTAACATGAGCATTGGCTAATCTGTTGGGGTTTTGGATTTACCTTTTCCTCACCTTTCAGGATAGCGTAATGTGTAACTGCCTGGTAATATCATATCAATATCATCACTCCACGTTTCGGACAAGGATTCGGAACAACGGACGATGTATGAGGTGAGTGGATAAAGTGCAGCAAAACATTTACATCGAAACAGACAACGTTGTTGGGTCTGGCAATCCTTTTCTACAT